TCTTTGATTTCAGAACCAAATCAAAAACTCAACCCCTTTTACAATAGCTGCAAAAAGAAAAAAAAAAAAAACCAAAAACAAAAAAAACCTTAGGAGTATACCTGCCCAAGGAGGTGAAAGACCTCTACAAGGAAAACTACAAAACACTGCTGAAAGAAATCATAGACAACATAAACAAATGGAAACACATCCCATGCTCATCATGGATGGGTAGAATCAATATTGTGAAAATGACGATATTGCCAAAAGCAATCTACAAATTCAGTGCAATTCTCATCAAAATCATTCTTCACAGAACTAGAAAAGACAATCCTAAAATTCATCTGGAACCAAAAAAGAGCCTTCATAGCCAAAGCAAGACTAAGCAAAAAGAGGAAATCTGGAGGCATCACATTATCTGACTTTAAACTAGACTATAAGGCCATGGTCACCAAAACAGCCTATACTGGTATAAAAATAGGCATACAGATCAATGGAACAGAACTAAGAACCCAGAAATAAAGACAAATACTTACAGCCAACTGTTCTTTGACAATGCAAACAAAAACATAAAGTGGGGAAAGGACACCCTAGTAAACAAATTATGCTAGGATAATTGGCAAGCCACATGTAGAAGAATAAAACCAGATTCTCATCTCTCACCTTACACAAAAATCAGCTCAAGATTGATCAAGGACTTAAATCTAAGACCGAAAACCATAAAAATTCTAGAAGATAACATTGGAAAAACCCTCTAGACATTGGTTTAGGCAAAGACTTCATGACTGAGAACCCAAAACCAAATGCAACAAAAACAATAATAACTAGGTGGGACTTAATTAAACTAAAAAGTTTCTGCACAGCAAAAGAAACAATCAGCAAAGCAAACAGACAACTCACAGAGTGAGAGAAAATCTTCACAATCTATACATCTGACAAAGGACTATTATCCAGAATCTACAGGGAACTCAAACAAATTAGCAAGAAAAAAAACAAAGAATCCCACCAAAAAAATGGGCTAAGGACATGAAGAGACAATTCTCAAAAGGAGATATACAAATGGCCAATAAACATATAAAAAAATGCTCAACATCACTAATTATCAGGGAAATGCAAATCAAAACCACAATGCCATACCACCTTACTCCTGCAAGAATGGTGGCCATAATCAAAAAATAAAAAAATAGTAGATGTTGGCAGGGATGTGGTGAGCATTACACTGCTGGTGGGAACGTAAACTAGTACAAACACTATGGAAATCAGTGTGGAGATTCCTTAAAGAACTAAAAATAGTTCTTTAACTATTTGATCCAGCAATCTCACCACTGGTTATCTACCCAGAGGAAAAGAAGTCATTATATGAAAAATATACTTGCACATGTATATTTATAGCAGCACAATCACAACTGCAAAAATACGGAACCAGCCCAAATGCCTATCAATCAATGAGTGGATAAAGAAATTGTGGGTTATGTATATATACCATGGAATACTATTCAGCCATAAAAAGGAATGAAATAATGGCATTTGTAGCAACCTGGGTGGAATTGGAGTTCATTATTCTAAGTGAAGTAACTCAGGAATGGAAAACCAAACATCATATATTCTTATTCATAATTGAAAGCTAAGCTATGATGATGCAAAGGCATAAGAATGATACAGTGAATTTTGGGGACTTGGAGGAAAGGGTGGACAGGAGTGAGGGACAAAAGACTACAAATTGGGCACAGTGTATACAGCTATGGTGATGGGTGTGCCAAAATCTCACAAATCATCTCTAAAGAACCTACTAATGTAATCAAACACCACCTGCTCCCCAAAAACCTATGGAAATAACAAACATAAAATCAAATAAAAAGATGATTAGAAAAATGTTAACTACCTGGAAATTATAGATTTATAAATAATTCAGGTATTGTAGAATAAATCAAATTGAAATTAAATATTTTGAACTACATTATGAAAGATATGACATATTAAACCTTGTAGCATGCAGCTAATATGCTACTTAATGCGTAATTTATAACTCTAAATGAAGATAAATTAGCAAATTCAGGAAATCAGTGATTTAAACTTCCATCTCAAGAAATGAGTAAAAAGCCCATTAAATCAAACTTAAGGATATTAAGTGAAATAAATAATAAAGGTAAGAGCACATGTCAATAAGATTTAAAAAACTCACAAACATGCAATAGAAAAAATCATGAAAGCCAAAAAGTTAGGTCCTTGAGAAAATTTATAAAATTGATAAATCCCTAACAAAATTGATTGGGAACTAAAAGTAAATTATCAATATCAGGATTTAAAAGGGGAACATTACTACAGATCCTATAGATCAAATTAAAATACGAAAGTGTTACTAAAAACTTCACATGGACATACTTGGTAATTTAGATAAAAGTATTACTTATCCCAACTGACAAAAGAAACTTTGATTGGTACAAGATCTATTTAAATAATAAAATTTACTATTAAAATGACAGATCAACTCTCCTATAAACATAAATGCATATTTTTTAACAAAATTTTGGAAAGCAGAAACAAGTGTTATATAAAAAGGAAAATACACTATGACCAATATATTTTATTCCAGGTATGAAAGGTTGATTCAACATTAGAAAAATGGATCAATGTGATTCACTATATTAACAGAAAAAAACAGCAGATTATCTCAATAAAATAAAGCATCTGACAAAATTCAACATATATTCATGATGAAAACCTATAACAAACTAGAAATAGAAGGGAACTTTCTAAATTTGACTTTAAAAATCCACCAAAAAATTACGTTATTGTATTTAATATTAAAATGCTAAAAACTTCTTCCTTGAGATCAGTACTGCATACGGTATGACTTTATTTGCATAAAATATAAAACAGGCAAAGTTAACTTATCTGAATTACAATCCAGAATAGTAGTTACCCTCTGCAGGAAGGAAATAGTAGAAAGACTCCTAGGGTGTTGGTAATGTCTAGTTCTTGATCTGATGTGGCTATAAGGTTATATTCACTTTTTGAAAATTCATTAATCTGTTCACTTATAATGCATGTAAATTTCTGTATGTTTATATTAACAAAACATTAATTTAAAAACATGCTGATACAAATTTTAAAATCCAACTTCTATTTCAAATAACTAGCTTTCTCTCATGAGATAATAGGTTGGAGGATTTTTCAATGTTCAGACAGTTCTTTGCCAGCATGTTGACCCAGCCTTGGCAAGAGCTAAATGATGGACACCTTGGGGGCCCATTTAGAGAATTTGAGCTCCCCAGACAATGCTCAGAAACCAGACAGGTCTTTCATCGGGTTCCCATAGCTAAGTGAGCTTTTCCAACACATTTTCCAGGCCTCAGATAATGCAATTCTATTTCAGGAAACTTTCCTAGTATGTGCAGCTTCCCAGCAACTCTCCAAAGGAAAGATCTGTGGAACCATTATAGATCTGTTTCTCACTCTGCTGTCCCTGTTGGGGTGGAAGGCAAGGTAAAAAGGCCAAGCCTCTTAGGACTCAAATTATACATTGGGTAGAGGCAGGAGTAGAAGTGAACAATAACCTGCAAGGTTCTCTGATCAAGAAACATTACTCCATGAACATCCACACCAAGGGCAACAGCCAAATGCTACCAGGAACAGCTCTTGAAGCTTTATATGAAACACATTCTCCAAAGAAGTTGCACATCTGCTCTCTAGACCTAGGTACCAGAGTTCTTCTCCAAATTTCATTGCACTTCACTATCTGTTCAGGAGCTTCCCTACCTTCATAAATGAGTCAGGTGGAGAAGTAGCACATTTACAATGGACGCTGTTGCACCCTTGTTTCTTTAATTTTATTTTTTAAATTGAATTATAATAATTGCACATATTCATGGGGTACATAATGATGTTTCAATGCATATTATGCATAGCGATCAGATAAGGACAGTGAACATATCCATCATTTCAAACATTTATCACTTCTTTGTGTTGGGAACATTCAGTATTCTCCTTATAGCTATTTAAAACTATACATTCTTGTAATTTTCTTAGAATGGAAATCTACCCAGACCGTTTTAGCAAAAGAAACTGTCTGGCTTTTTACTTCTTTTCTAGAAAGCAACATAATTTTGATCAGCTAACTTCCCATTCTTCCAAGAAGTTCTCTAGGGCTTATTCCAGTACATGGTCCTCTCTCTTCTCTCTTCTCTCTGAAAGCATGTAGGAGTCATGTTCAGCTCACAAACTGGGGCTGGCTTTACACACACACACACACACACACACACACACACACACACGCGCGCGCGCACACAATGTGATATATACATCTATGGCTTGGAGCCCTGCATTTTGTATAGATGTAATATTTTTGTGGTGCCTACTTTCTTAAGAGGGTCCACAAAGTCTGTTCAATATAAGTGGATCCAAAAGATTGCATCTGTAGTGTGATGAAAGCCCTTGTCTTTTCACAGCAGCATTTAGCAGCGGACATAGCCTTTTCAGTTCTGCCCTGATAGAGAATGATCTTCTCCCTAACCTACTCTAAATGACTTACTGTGATGATCAGCCTCCTTTCTAGTTGTTTAATGTCCTTGCTTATTCCATTCATTCCCTTTTTTATTATTCTTCAGTCAAATTGGCTTTCCCGCCTCAAATATGTCAAACTAGTTTCTTTCTCAACCCTTGGTCCTTGCTCTTCCCTCTGCCTACAATACTCTCATCTAGGTCTTCAGTTGACCAGTTCCTTCTTCTCATTCGGTGTCAGCTTAAGTGCCATCCCCTCAGAAGACCTTCCCTGATTACCAATCATTTATAACAAGTCATTCTCTAGTTTTAAAATTTATCTTATCTATTTATTCTCTTGTTTATGGAATATTTACCACCACTATAATGCAAGCACCATGAATGGAGGGCTCTTGTCTGTTTTATCCATTTTTAGGTCTCCAGCACCTAGCACAGTGCCTGACACATAGTGGGCAGATGTGTCAGTTTGAGTCTTCTGAGAAGCAGATGCCCAGATGGGATGAGACATACAAGAAACTTACTAGGAGAAACACCTGTGAAGGATAAAGGGGATGGTGCCAGGAGAGCTTCAGAGTATGCCAGGAGAGCTTCAGACTGTGTCACAGGTCTTAAATCTGTGAAAGAAGACAGAAAAGGAAGGAGGTTTAATTAAGAAGAACCTCAGACCACAGTATAGTTCTAAGAAAATCTTGGTCAGGCTGAAAAGGACAGCCCACTCAAAGGTTGCGCATTAGAAAAGCTTCATGTTGGACAGGAATGGCCTGATTCCAGGGCCCCTACCATGCTCAGATAGTAGCTGAGAGTTAGCCTGAGAAGGCTGGGTGCATAGTGGATCCAAAGGGGCAGCTTCTGGGGCTGTAGTCACAAGGCTCCCCATGTAGATTAACTTGAAGAGGTACCTGAATGGTGAACCCAAGGCCTCCACAGCAGTTCCTCGACATTTGTTAAAAGAAAAAATTAGTGGATAAATCCATGATAAATCTCTGAACTCCATGGTAGAGGAACCCACATGGCCTAACTAGACAAATTCTTTATTGAACTCTTCAACTGGTCTCATGAATGGACCTGCAAGCTGGCTGTTCCTGGCCGTCACTTCTATGGAGGAGCCAGGTACTGGTGGTATTGTAAGTGATATCATTTGGATATTTGTTCTCTCTGAATCTCATGTTGAAACATAATCCCCAGTGTTGAAGGTGAGATTTGGTAGGGATTTTGATCATGGGGGCAGATCAATCATGCATGTCTTAATGCTATGCCCTTGGTGATGAGTGAGTTCTTGTTCTGAGGTGATGCAAGATGTGTTTGTTTAAAAGTATGTGGCACCTCCCCCACTCTCTCTTGCTCCTGCTCTTGCCATGTGATGCGTTGGCTACCCCTTCACTTTCCACTGTGATTGTAAGTTTCCTGAGGCCCTCACCAGAAGCAGATGCTGGCACTATGCTTCCGGTACAGTCTGAAGAACCATGAGCCAATTAAACCTCTTTTGTTTTTAAATTACTCAGTTTCAGGTATTCCTTTATAGCCACACAAACAGACTAACACAGTAGGTCAGGACCACTTCTGTGCTTGATACCTCACAGTGAAGACCTTAATTGACCCATAAATTAGCTTTATTACTATTATTGTTTATTATTATATCATTGTTTTCTCTAACCAGAGGATAACCCAGGAAGACTTACAAATGCTTTATCCTTTTCCTGTTTTTCCCTACACTTCTTAGCACAGTGTAGTTCTATAGTAAAGATCCCAACTTCAAAGGTCTACCAAAGCCAGGCATTTTATGGAGACAAGTGAAGCAGGCCTGGTGGAGAATGCTAGGGATAAGAACTAGAGTTGGCTTGCCCCATCTAGATGGGGCAACTGCTCTCTAGCTGCAAGTAGATGATTGCCAGGTGGGAATGCAGACTCCATGTGACCAATGCCAGAAATCTGGATTTTTTACATGAAATATCCCGATTTTTCAACGTTGGGAACTAATTAAGTATGTTTTAAACACTCTGCAAGCCAACTTTAGTGTGGCCAAACACAACATGCCTGTGGGATGATTTGGCCATCAGTTTATGGTCTCCATTCTAGACCAGTTGATGGACAACACTCTAGATCTTTAAAACTCAGTTTTGCTAAAAGTTTTGTAGCAGTTATTCTTGGAAGTCCTCTCAGAACAGCTGATGACTAACCATTTATGTCATTCCCCAGTATCCTGGACCCAGAGAGCGTGGAAGAGAATAGACCATAAATGTCTGAGTCAGAAAGCCCATGGGACTCCATGAAATAAAAGGTGACAGGCATCTCTTTACCAGTGTGTGAGTGGGTCTGCCAGTGAGGACAAGGCTGAAGACAAACAGATGGATCTTACTGCCTGCCCAGAGGGAGTACAAAGTGACTTCAGGGAGTGAGGACTAAATTCCAAGGCAGAGTTCACTTTCAGCAAATATTAGGCCCTACATCTGGAAAACCCAGATGCATTATTTGTTTATTTACTTATTTTTGGTAGTAAGCCACATAATTAGAAATCCTAAGAGGTAAAGGTAAGAATAATGGAAAAACTCACTAATGATTCAAAATTATGAAAGACTTAAAACAGTAACAACAATAATAATTTTTAAAAGTCCCTCCCAATAACAAACTTGTTTTGTTTTGTTTTTGAGATAGGGTCTTGTTCTGTGTCCCAGGCTGGAGTGCAGTGGCACCATCATGGCTCACTGCAGCCTCGACCTCCTGGGCTCAAGGAATCCTCCCACCTCAGCCTTCCAAGTAGCCACGAGTTTCACAATGTTACCCAGGCTGGTCCTGAACTCCTGAGCTCAAGCAATATGCCCTCCTCGGCCTCCCAAAGTGCTGGGATTTCAGGAGTGAGCAACTGTGCCCAGCCCTCAAATAACTATTATAAACAATTTTATTATTGCATGCATATAGCATATGTGCCAAATTATATATTTGATTCCTTTTGAGCATGTTGATGAGAATGTTGGTGCTTAACATAATGAATAATTTCTAATATTTAATTAGGACCCACATCCTGATTCAGACTCCAGGTTTGTAGCATCAATGGTGACTCACTGCTTGGATTTTCAGAAGCATAAAAATCACAATCCATTTTAACAGACCCAGGGGAATCTAAACATTTTCCAGAATTTGACACATAGTAGGAATATCAGTTACTGGATTCATGGACTTATCAACAAAGCTGTTGGTGGAAGTTGCATTGCTTTTAGGTCTACAGGAGGCTCTTAAATAGTGCTACTTTTTCAAAGTAAATCCTTGTTCATTTTTGAACTTGTGATTCCAATCCAACAGAGACTATAATTTGCTTCTGGAATTGATGAAAATTCTGTTTTCATCAATACTTCTATAATCCTTGAAAATTTTTATTACATGATGGTTGCCTTCTTCAAAAGGTATCTATCCAGTTTGAACACAGACAGCTGCACTTCTGAAATTATCGGTGATGTTCTGCACTTTGCTTTTCTCTTGAAATTTTGAATTCAGTGTCACAACCATAAGAAAGCATCGTCATGTGAACAAAAAGCACTCCAACAATGTGGGTTTCTCAATCCTTCATCCCCAAAGTTCTTGATCTGAGGAGGCAGCTCAGTGAATCTCATGAGGTTTCCCCATCTGAGGGCTTAAAAATAAACAGCATCTGCCTACACTGATTTAAGTGCTTCAAAATATCTAATAAACTGATGATGGCTGTGGGGGCTGGCTTGAAGAACAGTCACTTCGTTGGAATCATTTTCTGCATTGTATCATACGTGGACCTCCCCAGAGAGGTCACAGTCCCAACTTTTGCAGGAAGAGGCAATGAGAGCCTCCATGCAACCTGTGCTGCTGACTGCAGTCACCTGTCAAAACCACCTTGTCCTCTTTCATACCAAAGGTGTCCCATTGGCAAGTGAACTCATCTTCTCCATGTTTTGACCAAACTTCTCAAATTCCTCATTGGCATGAGTTAGGACTTCCCAGCTCAGGTATGCCAGGTAATTTCACATGTATATGTACAGGATTGTGTAAGAATTGATGCTTATGCTCTTGAAAAGCATCTATAGCTCCCTATATACAGTACAGTCCAGAAGACTGTCCTACAACCTAAACTTCTAGGCTGTCTCTATCTTTTCATTAATTCAACAAATATTTGGTGAAAACATACTATGCCAAAATGCCTAAATTTACATCTTACTTGTTGAGCTTTTAATTGTCAACTCCAGTCTTTTTTCTAGAAACAGTACAAAAAGGACAGAGGGGTTTATTTTCAAATGGTGTTGGCAGAAATCGATGTAGCAATTAGCCTCTCTAGAAGAATCCCCTGCTATTTCATCAGTTTACTAACTTCTGTGCACTGGAATTGAGAGAGCTGCCAAGTGCAGCATTCTTTTTGGAAAAAAAAAATAGTAAATCCTAGTTTAAAATCCTCTACATAATCATATTCTGCTTCACTTGGCAAACTCTTAACTCCTATGATTGAGACATCAACTGTGCGTTTTTCAACTCTCCAGTAGTAAATCGTGTACATTTCTAAATTCTTCTTGAAATATTATATTTACTATATATGTTCTACCATGGGTAATATTTTTATAATCCTTTATCAAAATGCTTTGTGACCTGCCTGCATTTAGCTATCTGCAAACTATCTTTTACTTAGTCCACATCTGCTTACTGCTAAACAGCTTGCCTTGGCTGTAACTTTGTGTTAAACATGACAAGTTATTATTGCATTTGCTATTTGCTGCCATTTGCAATTGTCATCTTTTAAGACATGCTGTCTCCCTAGACCACTTTTGATCATTTGCATGACATGAAAAGAAATGACTGCAAATAAAAATTGCTCAAATGCTATGCCTGGTTGTGGTTTTAAGTGAAACATCTGGGCTCATTCAAATCACCCTTCCTTTTGATGTGACTTTCTTTGCCATGACTCACAAAAGCAGGAGGTTTTGTCAGGTGGCTTTTCCCAGGAGTTACTGGGAAAAAAGGGAATTCTTCCTCCAGAGACTATGTTTCTGGGCTCTTCAAAGCTTTCAGGAAGAAACAGGGGCACTTCATGTTATTCTCTTCAACCTGTTCTGGGCTACTGATAGCTTTGACAAGAAAAGTCTCTGGAACTTCTTTTGACAAGGGAGCCCAGAGGATGGTCACCCAGGGGCCGAGGTGGAGTGGATAGAAATGTGGAAGCCTGGGGAAGACCTGGTTGCCATCTTTAAAACTGTTCGAGGGAAACAGGCTCAGTTGGATTGGCTGCGGAGTGTGGAATAGAGGGTATCAGAATGGAGGGGGAGAATTTGCTTCAGCAAAGTTGATGGACAGTCCCTACTTCAGGTCTCAGCTCAAAGATCACTTCCTTGGAGCGACTTTCTCTGCCACCCAAACTCAAGTAGCTCTCCCTCCCTTGATTTGCTTAATCATGTTACTCTGTTATTTCCTCAAAACAGTTCTGAGACAATGAGATTTCTTGTTTATTTATTTTTATTGTTCTCCCCAATGGAAAGTAAGCTCCATGGTGACAGGGACTCTGTCTGCTTTGTTCACCCACTCATCTCCAGGTCAGGGCTGGCTACACAATTTGTGGGACCCAGTACAAAACAAAAATAGAGGGTGCCTTGTTCAAAAAAAGAAGGAGAAAAAGTGCTGCTAAAGGCACTAAAGTGTGATATTTTCCTTTCTTGAATGGTCTCTCTCTCAACTTGCCATTGTGTTTCTTTATTTGCCATTTAATGACATTCTAAGTTAAAAAATGGAAATATAAAATTATTAGCATGGTTTACTGTTTATCTTTACAGTGTGTAATGTCAGTTTTAAATGCAAATATAACAGCATTTAACTCTTACACAAAAATCCTTAAAATTTCTCTGCAACCTCTGTTGCTTTTTGACTTTTTAATAATAGCCATTCTGACTGGTGTGAGATGGTATCTCACTGTGGTTTTGATTTGTATTTCTCTAACGATTAGTGATGATGAGCATTTTTTTCATATATTTGTTGGCCACATGTATTTCTTCTTTTGCGAAGTTTCTGTTTATGCCCTTTGCCCATTTTTAAAATTGGGTCCTGGAAAAGAGGGAACACTTACACACTGCTGGTGGGAATCTAAATTACTTCAGCCACTGTGGAAAGCAGTGTGGAGATTCCTCAAATCATTTAAAAACCAACATTTGACCCAGCAATCCAACTACTGGGTATATACCCAAAGGAAAATAGATTGTTCTACCAAAATGATACATGCACTCATATGCTCATTGCAACAATATTCACAATAGCAAAGACATGAAATCAACCTAGATGCCCATCAGTGGTGGACTGGATAAAGAAAATGTGGTTCATGTACACCATGGAATGCTACGCAGCCATAAGAAAGGCATGAAATTATGTCCTTTACAGCAACATGGATGCATCTGGAGGCCATTATCTTAAGTGAACTACTGCAGAAACAGAAAACCAATACTGCATGTTCTCTCTTTTAAGTGGGAGCTAAACATATCTATCAGGTACTATGCTGTCTGCCTGGGTGATGGGATCATTCGTACACCAAGCCTCAGTGACATTCAATTTATCCATGTAACAAACCTGCACATGCACTCCCTGAATCTCAAAAAAGTTGAGAGAAAAAAACAAAATAAAACAAAACAATTACCAAAATTACACAATTAATATTTGTAGCTCAAAAATGCATAAATATTTCACTCTTACTAGAACAGTGGAAATGCTACATGAAACTCAACAGTTTTTAATTCACAGCTTGATACATTCTACCAACACTCTTTACCTTCAGCTTACTGATGGGTAAGAAAAACTTGAAAGGAAAAGAAACTGTTGTCTTAACATTTCCTCTCTTTCTAGCATTTCAGCATTAAAGTAGTTGGCTGATACAGGGAAACAACATGAATAAGAAAGAATGCAATAGGGTTCCTTGATTCTTGTTCTCTTTCAAACAAAAAGCATGGCCTCTAGGATGTCAGCACCTGCCTCCTCCCCACCTTTCTCAGTGGTAGCCCTAATACAATTGCCTTATACTTGCTTTTAGTCTCACTGAATGCTTGAATATTGTGGGCCACCAAATTCTGTGCTCATGGGGTGTCATCACAAATGCTATATGTGAATGGGAAGGCACTGTAGACATTTCCTCTGCTCATGTGCATGCTCCCTCATCCCATTAGACTTTCTTACAAAACACGAGTTCTATGAAATTATTCAGAATTGCAAGACAGTGGTAGCGGTGCATTAAACCAAATGTGGGACCATTTCACTGTGCAAGTCTGTGCCCATGAAGCCAGCCTTGATCCATTTTCCACCACAATGTAGTTAATAAAGAGCACACCGAGCACAGAGGATGCGCACATGCATTCTTGCTGAATGATGAATGACTGAACAATTCAGAACTGTTGACCAATGAACTGAACTGCAGCCATAAGTGACCTCATGGCCCAGAAAGAGGAAGACAAAGACAAAGGTAGAGAGGGTGACTCCAGCTTCAGTTTCCAATACTGTTCCTGTTCCTCAGCCTACCTGTATCTCCTAGCCTTGAGTTCGATGAAATATTATTATTCCCTACAACATATCTCCCCTGATTTGTCTGTGTAGGTTTTTATAGTATCTTGACAAAGAAATTCATTTTGTGCCATGGCCCATCCATGACCCTCTCCAGACATACCCAGCTATATGATCTTCTGAACGTGTCATGATTTTCACACTGGCATGCCTTTGACCAACAGAGCCATTGTTCTCTCAATGAGTATGCCCCCTTCTTTTCTTTTCTTCTCTTTTCTTTTTTCTCCTCCCTCCTTTCTTTCCTTCTTTCTTTCCTTCCTTCCTTCCTTCCTTCCTTCCTTCCTTCCTTCCTTCCTTCCTTCCTTCCTTCCTTCCTTCCTTCCTTCCTCCCTCCCTCTCTCCCTCCCTCCCTCTCTCTTCTTCTCCTTCATGATGGAGTTTTGCTCTCGTCACCCAGGTTGGAGAGCAATGGTGCGATCTTGGCTCACTGCAACCTCAGCCTCCTGGGTTCAATCTCTTCTCCTGCCTCAGCCTCCCGAGTAGCTGGGATTACAGGCACCCATGACCAGTTTCTCTTTTCTAATAGGCCAACTCCTCTCCTTTCTTCAAGATCAGCTTTCCTGTGATATCTTCTTCAGTTCTCACTTGAGATAGTCACTCAGATGTCATTGTATTGAGGTAGATGCTGACATTTGTGTCCCTGAGATCTCCTTGGGGTTGGAGTAAAGTAGTATTCTCTTTTGTGTTTCTCTTGCCCAGAACCTCAGTTAGTGCTTGATACTTAAGATTCTCACTGTTGCATGAGACTTCATTGTTGATTTACCAAATTACCATATATGGCTACGCCTGGGGGACATTATGCTAGGACTATCTTCAGAATACCTCAGTTGCAAGTTGTTTACCACTTCCCAGTCCTTATTTCTTGTGTTCAAAGACGATTTTTCATTGAAACCTCTTCTAGCTGATTATAGGAATTATTTAAGTTAGTGGTAGTAGAAAGAAGTGTGGACAATAAAAAGAAGCATATTGAAATGGGCTTAGATTAAAGCCGTCCAAAAGCCTATCTGTGCTCAGCTGTGCCTAGAGTACTTTTGGAACAATCTATTTATGAAATGATAGACCACAGATTAATGACGATGACACCCACATTCATTCTTGAAAAATATGACTCAGTTGTACGTCGTGCACATACACAGGAGCAGGAATAGATCACAGATCACTGATTGTGACACCCACATTCATTCTTGAAAAGTATGACTCAGCCGTAAGTAGTGCACATACACAGGAGCAGGAATCTGAGGGGAAGAAATATCTATCCAGTGCAGATGCCATTCACAGAGATCCCCAGACAGTCTCCTAAGCAGCCTGAATTGTTCTTCTTGTCTGGTCTGCATCCCACTGGGAAACAGTCCAAGATGTTAAATATTTTCACTGAATATGGTGGTCTACCTCCTTTGGCATGAGGTTTTGGAGGGGTCTCTTCCAGTGGGACATAGTTTATCATTTATTTCTCATCTGTACTGAGAATTATAGAATGAATCCTGCTTTCATTCAGGTTACAGATTTGTTAAAATAATTATCTGAAATATAGCAGATATTGTCATGATTTTGCCAAAACAAAACAAAAACAAAAAAAGTGTTATAAGATAGAAATGCTTAATGAATAAATAACACATTTTTCAGGACTTGTTTTCTCATTGTTATCAAGAGTTGGCCATGAGGAATAGGATATTAGGTCATATGCAGACTAGGAAGTGGAAAAGGCCAAAAGATAAAAATTCTACAGGAGACAGAGAAAGCCCTGACACGTCTATCTTTTTTGCTTGCTTCACACATGAAATGACTCCCTGCTGAATGGAAAGACAGACAGGTGGGACTGGCTTTCATTCAAATGATGGGTGGAAGTGCCGCTGCCGTGTCTGAAGGTTTAAAAAGTTCTAATGTTCAGATGAAGAGAGAAGATAGAATAACATTCTCCTTCCCTCATATGCAATGCAGTGGGAAAATCAGTCCCACTCTTTTATTTATGTGGTCAAAATGTAAGTATAAAAATTATTACCCATGTTGTGAGTCAATCTAATTGCTGGATCATCTTTCATTAGCTCTGGACGTTTAGCTCTCTGTGATATGACTGTGTCTCTCTGACCAAATAAGTATGTGTCAAATAATGGTTAAAATTTCCACTGATCCCCAAAAGTCTGAGCACCAGCTGGATACAGATGATTGCCAACACCAGCAGTCATGTGGAACTCACTAATTAGGTATATGCATCCTGGGCATACAGACATGCCATGTCAAAGGGGTGGCTGTACCTACCTCACGATGCCTTCGGAACATGCAATAACTTCATTGCTTTACAAAAAAAAAGGAAAAGAAAAGACTTGGCTGAAAGCAAGATTGCTTTTCGGAAGGGAAACTCTTTTCCCAGGGTGCACTGTGCAGACAAAACTTACTGCATCCCTTCTGAAAATGTGTCTGGAGCAGTCTTCCAAGATGATTAATAGAGCAAGTATTTCTCACAAGGGTTTGACCTTTGAAAGCACAGACAGACAAAAGGCGTAAATGGTCAGAGAGGGATGGAGAGCATCAGGCTCACGAGACACCCGTGCCCACACATTTGCCTCTCATCAGGGCCTGGAACACACCATGCTGTCCCTTGGAGAAAGCCCTTTAGGACCATGATACCTTTGAAAGGTTTTTGTGTCACTGTAAACATCTTTACCTTGAAGATTTTCTTTCAAATGATGGAACAGCCAGTTGGTGCATCGTAGGTGCAGAGACTACAAAAAAAAAAAAAAAATTAGATGATTCCCACACCAAGTGTTCAGCTCAGAGTCATGGGCCACACATTTAGACACAAGTTCTTTATTTTTTTTTATTTTAAGTTCCGGGGCACATGTGCAGGATGTACAACCTTGTTACATAGGTAAATGTGTGTGCCAGCCATAGTGGTTTCCTGCACCTATCAACCCATCACCTAGGTATTAAGCCAGGCATGAATTAGTTATTTTTCCTGATGATCTCTCCCCACAACCACTCCCCATTTACAGGCCTCTGTGTGTTGTTCCCCTCCCTATGCCCATGTGGTCTCACTGTAGAAACAAATTCTTGAATGCAATGTGTGTGTTTCACTGAAGAGGGGAGGAAAGGAAGGTAGATATTTTGGGAAAAGAAAACCAATATTTTTAAGGACCTAATGCTAAATATTTATAGCAACTCTGTAAAACAAATGTTTATATTCCCATTTGACAGACAGATGAACTAGAACTTGAAGAACTTGTTAAGGTCATACAGGTCAAAAGTGGTGGCAATGTGGGTATTTAGCTCCATTTAGGCCTAATTCTAAACCTCATTCTTGTTTCACTATCCCAAGCTATCTAAAGCTGATGGGGGGAGGGTTAAGTGGACAGGTCTTGGCAAAAAGTCATCTGCCTAAAAATAAAGCACATTTCTGAGTTCTCTGACATGGCATGCTGAGGGCCCTTGCTGAGTTGGTAAGTTTAAGCAATGATGAATTTTATTGTACCAAATGGGGAAATGCTTTTTAAATATCCTACTTCTGTTCTTATCCCTTGACTTTGCAGTAATTTTCATTCATTTATACTTGACTGACTCATTGACTTAAAAATGTTATTGAGTCACTACTGTATGCCAGGTACTGTGCGAGGCAATTGGTGTGCAGTGGTCATCTTAGCCTGAGTTTCCCCTAAAACTGAGCCTGAGGTTAAGGCTTGCATGCAGATGGTTTATTTGGGAAGTAAACTTGGAGAGAAGAAGTGAGGGGCCAGGGAGAGTAAAACAGGAAGGGAGAAGCCAATACAAGGATACATTACAGAGGTGGCCACCAGTCTGGGTGGCTGGTGCTCAGTCCTGCTGGTACCTTTCAAAAGGTGCATAAAAGGGATTGGAGGAAGAAGCATTTATTCATTGGCTCCTGGCCTGCTTTTATTGGAAGTTACCCCACACAGCATTAACATTTGCACAATTCTGGATTGCACATGTATGAATGTCAAGCAGGCACCTGCAGGCACCCCACCCAGGGAAGTCAGGGAAGCTGCTGGGGAGGAAGCAGAGGTACGTGGTGCAAGCTTCAGGTGTTCTCTTTCAATGCAGAGCAGTATGAAGCTTCCTGGAAGTCCTTGCCAGGGCCACAAGCTGAGGCTGAGTGGATATGAGGTAGTGAACAAGATGTCCGATGTAGTGAGCTAAATGGATACAGTCCTTATTCTCAATGAAAAGCCTACAGTTTAGTCAGAGAGATGCTTATTAAATACATTAACCAACTACATAATTACAAATTTTAAGAGGCATCATGAAGGAAAATGGCAGGTGCCAGGGGAGAGAATAACAGGCAAGCCTACCTTAAATTGGGATGACAAGAGTGCCTTCTCTGGGGGAATGACATTTAGGCTGACACCTGCAGAATGAGCAAGAGATGGTTGGGACAAAGTGGTAGGGAAGGACATCATAGAGAGAACAATCTGTGCAAAAACTGGAGACAAGAGTAGGTCTTGGTGAGCTGTAGAAACAGAAAGACCCCAACACGACTCAGCAGAGAGAAGTTGGGAAGAGAGGAATGAGACATGTCTAGAGAAGTAGGCGGTTGAGTTCTGGATTTTAAAGCCAGTAGAGGTATTTTAAAATATTTGAAAACCCTCTTTGGTTTTTACAAAAAAAAAAAAAAAAAAGTTGTACTCTGCAGTAGGGAAAGCAGAGAAGCTTTTCCAAAGTAGTTGCAGTAGTCTAGGGAAGGAATGTTGGTGGCTTGGACTAGTGACTGGTGACACTTGTGACAGTGGAGATGACAAAAACTGGGCAGATTAAAGAGCTATTTTCCCCTCAAGAAAATGTGGTGACAGATCAGATATGAGGACAAGGATGATGGGGGAATTATGTGTTGAGTATTTACTCACCCACTCAACAAATATGTATGAAGTGCTTACTATAAGGAGGACAGTCTGCTACACAGAGGAATCCCAAGATTGATAAGACTCCAGTTTGGCCTTTGAGTGACTCACAGTTCAGTAAGGAAGATGAAGATGTAGACAGACAATTCCAGTAGAGTTACTATGATAGCTGCACATTCCAGATCTCATTAAAAACTAGCACAATCAACGTTACGCCCACCAACGCAGATGATCATAAATGCATTCTGCTTGTGTGGCTCTAGAAGACCACTTACCAGTTGCCCAGAATAGTTCAGGAAATTAATTCAGAATGGAATCAATTCTCTGTGGGTTATTTTATCTTCACTCATTAATAATGAGCCTCTCAGCCATAGAATTATGAAGTTTGGTCCAGGGCATTTGATCTTGGGAACGGGAGGGCTAAATGGATCATAGTTATCCAGGAATAATAAAGCAGAGTTAGTCCCCATGAGGAAGTGTCCCTGGCATAATATCTTTGTAATTTCTCTTCTGTCTTCTTTAAAGCCCCTGAAGTCATGATATGCCACTAACAGTGCCATCTTCCCAGCTGGTATTCATAGAGTTATTAGCCAGTCTTTCTAGGTTGCATTATGAAGATGATCTTTACAAGGTCAAAGGACTTTCCCCAAACTCTACTGGGTTTGAGTCCCTAAGTCATAACTATTTCCTGGAAGATACCTCAACCTGCTACAGAATTTGCATTTTAACTCGATAAGATATCATCTAGCACCAAAACCGTTACATGCATGCCATTTTTTCAGCCACTATGGGCTAAAATGCAGAAATAGTTTTCCCCAGAGGAAAAAGGAACAGATTGTTCACCACCATTAAGAATGGGGAAAGGCTGGGCATGGTGGCTCACGCCTGTAATCCCAGCACTATGGGAGACTGAGGCAGGTGGATCACCTGAGGTCAGGAATTTGAGACCAGCCTGGCCAACATGGCGAAACCCCGTGTCTACTAAAAATACAAAAATTAGCTGGGTGTAGTGATGCGTGCCTGTAATCCCAGTTACTCGGGAGGCTGAGGTAGAAGAATCACTTGAACCCAGGAGGTGGAGGTTGCAATGAGGCAAGATCACACCATTGCACTGCATCCTCAAAAAAAAGAAAAAAAAAAAAAAAAAAAAGAATGGTCACTGCATGGTGTTCCAATAGCTGAGAGCCTAACATTGTGCATTGTTTCTCATTCTGGCTGGTAAGCCAAGGGAAAACTGTGTATTAACTTCTCTTTCTGAGACAAATAGCATTTTAGTGAATCAGGGATGATGGTAGCAACACTAAGTAAACTATGCCTGTAATTCTAAGTGTTGACTCTCCTTCTAAGTTATTATGTTATTTACTTCCATTCAGTATCCTAAAATTAAGCTATATTCACTTGATATCTATCAGATTGAATGATAATCTTAATGACAGTCCCAAGGTTTGAAAATGCAAAGATAAATGGTTTTTTCATGATTTCTGGAATTAATTTTTCTTCTGTGTTCTAACAAAACAATTTTGTTGGTTTTCAGTCCACTGTTCACAAACGTATTTAGTACATTTATCTAAAGATATCACATGAGAAGCAAGGCTTGACTCACACTGTTCAACTGGTGCTGATGCTTAGTGAGGACCAATTTTAAGAAAAAGAAAGAAAAGCAGTAGAGAGGGGATGAAGATGTAGGCTTTCCCCCCATCGATCTTGCCTGGGGCCCCATCCCGTGCAATTGACTCCTATATATAGCCCTGATGTGGTCTAGATATGTTCAATCTAGAGCTTTCCATCATCCAGGGGCAGAAATTGGTTGAGAAATGAGAAACTGGGCAGATTAAAGAGCTATTTTTCCCTCAAGAAAATGGGGTGGCAGATCAGATATGTGGACAAGGATGATGGGGGAATTACATCTTGACTATTTACTCACCCCCTCAACAAATACGTATGAAGTGTTTACTATGAGGAGGACAGTCTGCTACACAGAAGAATGTGACCCTTGTGAGGTTAATCAGATATTATCTCCATGGGTCTTGCTGGGACCTTTAAGAAAAGTATTTTCTCTGTTCCTGTGTTAGTTTGCTAAGGATAATGGCCTTCAGCTCCATCCATGTTCCTGCAAAGGACATGATCTCATTCTTTTTTATGGCTGCATAGTATTCCATGGTGTATATTACCACATTTTCTATATTCAGTCTATCCTTGATGGGTATTTAGGTTGATTCCATGTCTTTACTATTGTGAATAGTGCTGCAGTGAACATACATATGCATGCGTCTGTCTTTACAGTAAAATGATTTACATTCCTTTGGGTATATACCAAGTAATGGGATTGATGGGTTGAATGGTACTTCTGTCTTCAGGTCTTTGAGGAACTGCATGCTTGCTCTTATAAGTGCAAGCTAAATGATGAGAACACATAGACAAATAGAGGGGAACAACACACACTGGGTTCTTTTGGAGGGTGAAGGGTGAGAGGAGGAAGAGGATCACAAAAAATCACTGATGTGTACTATGTACAAGTCTTAATACCTGGGTGATTAAATAATCTGTACAACAAATGTCCACGACACCAGTTTACCTGTGTAACGAACCTGCACTTTCACCCCGAACTTAAAATAAAAGTTAAATAAAAAAGAGATAGAGTGGGAGAAAAAGTACTTTATCTTTCTTGTTGATCTCAATCTGTGAGGAAGGTTGGCTTAGATACGTCAGTGCTCTCTTGCTGAGAGAGAGGAGAGATTTGAGACCTGAAGTCGATAGAGGAAACTCTGGAAACAGTAGATGTCAACTGAGGAGTCCTGACAACCGTATGGTGTTCTTTGTTCATTGCATTTCAGTAAGAATGCACTGTTAGTTCAAACTGGTAATGAAGACAG